CATAAATATTAAGCAAATATCTGGTGCTGTGTGCAAGCACTGTTCCTGGTGCTGTGTGTATTTTTGGGAACATGAAGCTGCATGAGCCCCTCAGAGACAGGGTTGGCTGGGACTGGGAGGCAGATGTGTCTAAGGCAGAAGGAGAGTGTGGACCCACATTCACCCATGGAGGCTGCTTCGAAGGCCTGTGCCAGCAGTATGGTAGGCTCTCGAGGGAGCAGGCATGAAAAGTTTTCCAAAATTAGAGAACTGGACAGAAGGACACCTCCCTCCTTCACCTCTACCATTTTTACTCTGTAATAGGTTATCCCTATCTGTGACCAAGAGGGAAATACCCTCTTGGGTATTAAATTTGGTCTTAAATTTGTTGCCTTGCACCTGGTGCTAGGGCAGGGATGGAGAGGGAAAACCACTGCTGTTAAGAGCTCAGGGAAAAGCCTTCACCTGTTCTGAGGGGTGGACTGCCCCCCAGGCCAAAGGTGGGAGGTAACTGGATGTCAGTGAGGAAAGAGTCAGGAATTTCTTGAGGTAGGGAGTCAGGGCAAGGGAAGACAGTGGAAGAACACTGCCCTGGAGACCCAGGGGCTCTGGGTTCATCCCGTTTCTGCCTCTAATTCACTGTGTGATGTGGGAAAAGTTACTTCTGCGTGGCCGTGGTTTCATCATTGGTGAAACATAAAAGCCCATTTTTTTGGACAGAGACTAAGGCTCCTTCCTGCTCTTAATTCTAAGATTCTGTCTGGACTCTGGCAAGAAAGGACAGCAATGCCTGGACTTAGGAGAAAGTAAAGACATTGCACAATTCTGGCCCAGAACCATAATTTGGGTAAAAGAAAACTGACCTGGAAGCAGGAGAAATGGGTTCTAACCCAATATTGGACCCTCACTTAGAGTGTACTTGGGAAAATCACGTCCCCTCTTTGGGTCTCTGTTTCCTCATCAGAGAAATCAGAGTATTGATCTTCAAATTTTTATGGTTATTTTTTTTTAGGCAAGAGAACTCTCCCATCAATGTCTCATATATGACAGAACAAAACCCAGAACTTTCTTGGTTGAGGTGGTAGGAAAGGCTCCTGAATCTACCCCTGTGACTGATGAGTCACTTACTTTTTCTTGGACCTCTATTCCCTCATCTGTGGCATAGGAATAAGAATTCCTGCTCTTACACGATCTCACAGTTAATCGGGGGGAAAATGAGACAAGATATGTGAAAGGGTTTTGCAGGCTCTAAATTGCTGAGCAAAGGTACAAGTTCATATTCAGACCTGTTGTCAACTCCTGTGTCATCTCTGCTGGTCTGGAAGTCCTCTCAGAAGTCCTCCCAAAGTCCATGGCTGTGGAAGGAGAAAGACATCCATTCCTCTCCAGTTCAAAGTATGGTGTGGGGCCAGTAGCCCTGAAAGCCAGAGGCAGCCCCTGCCAGGTCTGTAGATGGGGCCCAGAGCAGCTATGCTTAGAGATACGCAGGGGTAGGAGCCAGTGCCCCTGTGATCCACACGCTTACCATGCAAGAGTCCACGAACAGCAGAAAAAGGAGGAAGAGATTTCTCGGGCTGGAGCATGTGAGCAAACCTTCCAAAAGAAGATATGGTAGCAGAATCTGGCTCTAAAATGTTTCCCTGAACCTTTGATGAGCACTTTTGTTTGAGATTCTTGTGTCCCCCAACCCCCATACACCCTCACTGGTTACCCTGGTGATCAACAGCAGCTCAGCCCTGGGAACTAGTTTCCAAAAGAAGAGCTGTGATCTCCCCTAGCCTCCCCGGGTCAGCCACCTTGACTTCCTGCTCGATCCTCTCCCCTGTCTCCTGGTGTCCACAGTGCTGCTTGTGCTGCCCCTCACTCGTCCTGTGCATTGGTTTTGACCTGGGCTCCAGCCTGTGAGACTCCCAGGTTGGTTTCCAGCCGGACGAGATGGGTTTGGCTTAGCCTGCTCTTTGCTGCCCTCACTCTTTTGCTCCTCTTGCTTCCAGCAGGCTCCTGCTGGCTTTAATTAAGTCTGTGGAACCTCCCCCAGGGCCGGCCCTCACAAAATGAGGTGACCCAGCTCACTAGGGCTGCTCCCCAGAGGCCCCTCAGCTCCGGGCTTATCACAACAATTTCTGCTTCACATTTTCCACAGAACATTGCAACCTTTACAGGAAAACATTCCCTGTAAGTGCAGAAGCCAGCCAGGGCACTAGGTCCCAAACAAGAAGGCTTTGGATACTCTTGGTGCCCAAAGGGCTTGGCCTTTGGAGAGATTGCCAGTGAGAGACTTAGCTTTTTAATACAAAGGAAAATGGCTCCTGGGCAGAGCCATAGTGGGCTAAATCACAGAGTCAGCAGAGTTCTGCAGCCAGGCCCCTGCCCTTTCATAGTTCTTTAGGACTCAATTCAGGATGTCCAGCTATGTGGAAGACCCAACCACATACTCAGTAAAATCGATACTTCTACGTCTGGGATTCCAAGACCCTCAACAGCTTTCTCCTTTCTGTTCCAGGGCTATAACCTAACATTCTTACTCAGATCCTCAGGTCTTGCAAAAGGAAGCTACTGGGGAGTGCAGCATAGTGATTGTATCAATCAGAACAGGTTATGTTATGCTGTAGTAACAAATAGCCCCACAATTTGTGGGTTAACATGCAAAAGTTTATATTTCACATAAGCATAGAGATTCCATTGTTTGTGGTGGATCATGTGAAATACACATAGTCTCCTTAGCCATCATCATAGGGAAGATTGAGAAACTGGGCATATGAATGTAACTTTCTCTGCCATGTTTGATATGAACACAAACTTTGAAGCCAGACAGAACTAAATTCAAATCCCAATTTCACCACTCACTAATTATGGATCTTGGTCAACTTGACCTCTCTAAATCTTGTTTTTTCTTTTTTCTTTTTCTTTTAAAAATAATGTATAATATACATAAACATACAAAAAATTAACCCTTTTTAGTATACAGTTCTGTAAGTTTTGATAAATACAGTTGGATAACTACCACCACAATTTAAATATTGAACAGTTTCATCAACCACTCCTCCCAAAACTCTCTGTTTCCTGTTGTAGTTGACTCTTTCACCAGCAGCTCCTAGCAACCATGGTCTGTTTCCTGTCCTTATAGTTTGCCTTTATAAGAATGTCATATAAATGGAACCATACATTATGTAGCATTTGAGTCTGGCTTAGCTTAATGCACTTGAGATCCATCCATGTTTTTGTGTGTATTGGTAGCTTAGTCCTTCTCATTTCTCAGTAGTGTTCCTCTGTATGGATGTACCACAGTTTGTTTACCCATTCACCAGTTGAAGGACACTTGGTTCCAGTTTTTACCAATTATGTATACAGTGGCTGTAAACATTTATGCACAGATTATTGTGAGAACATTAGCTATCATTTCACTTGGGTAAATATCTAGGAGATGGATTACTGGGTAGCGTAAGTGTATGTTTAACATTAAAAGAAATTGCCAAATTGTCTTTCCTAGTGGCCATACCATTTTGCATTCCTATGAGGAATGTATAAGAATTTCAGGCTTGGTACTTACGAGGGTTTTTGTTGTTGTTGAATTGCCTTTTTAATATGTGAGTAATAGTATCACATTGTGGTTTTAATTAATATTTCCCAAAATGATTTATGATGTTGAGCATCTTTTTATGTGCTTATTGTCACCTGTATTTCTTTGTTAGTCAAGTGTTTAAATCTTTATATTGTTTCTTTTCTAATTAACTTCTGAGAATTCTTCTTATACATGGATTTGTGTCCTTTATCAGATATGCTATTTGCAAATATTTCCTTCTAATTCATGGCTTGTATTTTCATTTTCCTAATAGTGTCTTTCAGTTTATCCATTTTTTTCTTAGATGAATCATACTATTGGTGATGTTTTGAGGAAATTAAAGTTAGTGAAAATTTTCTTCTAAAAGTTTTATAGTTTTAAGTGTTACATTTATGTCTTATCAATTTTGAGTTAATTTTTATATCTTTTAAAGGGAATGTGTTTTTAGCTTCATTTTTTTCCATATGGCTATCTGTTTAGTCCAATATCATTTGTTGAAAATATTGACTTCCCCTCTTTTTCCATTAATTTGCCATTGTACTTTTGACAAAAATCGATTGATGTAAATGCATGGGTCTGTTTATGGTTTCTCTGTTCTGTTCCATTGGTTTATGTCTTCTTGCATCAGTATCATGCTGTATTGATTATTTATTTTATCTTTATGGAAAGTCTTAAAATCAGGTAGTGGGAGTATTCAGCTTTGTTCTTTTTAAAAATTGTTCCATTGGACTTCCATAAAGATTTTTAAAGAACTTGTAGATTTTCACAAAAGCTTTTTTGCTTAGATTTTGATTAGAATTGTATTGAACTTTATAGATTTATCTATAGTGAATTAAAATCTAATCAATGAACATGGTACTACCCCCTCCTCACTTATTTAGGTTTTTTTTTATTTTCTTCATCAGTATTTTGTAGGGGTTTTATTTGTATGTTTTGTAGCTTTTTTGGTATGTTTGTTATACAAATATTACACATATCTTGTAAGAGTTATACCTAAAGATTCTGCATTTTTATGCCATTTAAAAGTTACTAAGTAGCTCTCTTTGTTTTTAAAAGATTTCTTAGCATAAATGATCATATCATCTTAAAGACAGGTTTTTTTTTTCTGGATGCCTTTTATTTGTTTTCTTGCATTATTGTACCTCCGGGACAATTTGAATAGGAGTATTAAAAGCGGGCATAAGTGCCTTGTTCCCAGTCTTAGGGGGAAAGCATTGTCTTTCACCATTTAGTAAGATATTAGCCATTGGTTTTTTCATATATGGCCTTCAGGTGGAATAAATTACCTTCTATTCCTAGTTTCCTGGTAGTTTTTTAAAAAATCATAAATGGATATTATATTTTGTAAATTTTTTGATCTTTTG